AGGACTCCGGTTCGTCCTTGCGGCTTATCAAACGCCAATCAAAATGGTGCACACGGTGGAAGCGAGCGCGGAAAAGGACGAGGACCAGGACGAGGATGAGGTTGTCGAGAACGGCAGATGCCACGTGTCGGGCTATTTAGCATGGAAATTCGCTTACCGGCGGCGGCCCTAACCGGGACACAATGCGACAGCCGGACTGCGCTGCACTCAAAGAAATAATTAAAAGATATAACCATTAACTATGCTTACACAGAGAAAATTCTGACGTTCTCATCTGAGTTGAAAATGTTCTTAAAAATAGAATGACATTTTTAAGTTGAAAATGTTTTATTTTTGGTACATTGTATGTACAAACAAACTATTAGTTCAATCCTAAGTGTATACTTATCAAAAAGTTGTTAAATAAACTCAATTTAACCAATTTAATTTTAACCAAAGTGTAATTAAACGGTTTTTAAGAACGAATGTTCTCAATTCAAGAACAATGTTCTCAATTCAAGAACTTTGTTCTCAATTCAAGAGCAATGTTCTTAGATAGTTTTCTCTGTGTACAAAAATTCTACCTTCTACCTGTTCTAAGCAGTTTAAAAAGAAAGAAATCTGATATAAATAAACGTTAATTCTACAACTAGGTAAAATAAAACTTAATTAGAACTAAAACCGAAGTGGAATCATTCAACAAAGCTTTCTCCTTTGCAGTTAAAGTATCTATTTCTAATTAATTTGTTATACATATAATAAACTGATTATATTACATCCATTAACATGTATCATGTGCGACATATTATGCCACTTACTTTAGTATCATGTAAATATCATGCAATCCTTTGATATATCTTGCCAGAAATCAAATTAAGTTCGAGACATTCCAATTTGATATTCGATATTATTTATTTCTGTGTACAAATTACACAACGACTTCAAGGTAACCGGCGGACTCCGAACACAGAACACGCAAACGGAGCATTTAAATCGATTTCGCCGGGAGTGCGGGACACTGGGCGTCCGCCGGAGTACCTTGTTTATAGCTCCTGCAAATTTATCTGACTGTTTGGCCGTTATTTATGGACGACCCCGGACCCTTCCACAAACCGCCCTGGTCAACGTTCTCCGGCGTGAGTCGGTGTGTTTTCTATAATGGCCAGTGCGATGGGGTTAAACCCCTCTCGAAAGTAGGTCCATTCAATTTGCAAATTTGAACACTTTTGAGTGGCCCAGTTGTAGACGAACTATGCCGGAAATATTTTCCACAAGACTTCCTATTAAATCAAACATAATCTTGTCAGAGCCGACACACTTTTTGGTTGGCCAACAATTAGAAGCGATTTTTAGTATATTTTTAGTGTGACTAAGTCATACAGTTTTATTGCAATTATTGCAATTGCTTTTCATAAATTAGATAACCCTTGAAAATTATATGTCTGCTATGTGATATCCAAAATTTGCTTTGTTTTATTATAATTTCTCTTGTTATTTCGCTGTACATGCTATAACCAGAAAAACATTTTTCATTTTAATGGTGGCAAATTTGCTATTTGGTTTTCATTCCATTAGCCAAATAGGAACACATTTTACAGAAATAACTTTAGCTTAGCCTGCCAAACATTAATTTCTAGAACGTAAACTTCCTGCATTCTAAAATATGATTATTACAATGGGAATTGACCACCAGAACAATCTGTTTATTGGGAAAGTTAGTAAGGAGATATTTGTTGCCTGTGTCCATAAATATGTATAATATTCGGATATTTGTGGATAGTAAACATAGTATCTAACAGTTAAGTCTGATCTATTTTTATTTAGACTGTTTAAATATTTAGAGAATTTATCGGTGGAAACGGAACAAAATTATTATTACGATTGGTTTATAGTTCAATACGACTCAGGAGTTACATTTATAAAAGTTTTATAGTTCATAAACCATTATTGCCTTTCCAAACTTAAATTGCTTGACCCCTTCTTGACCCATTGGAATTATGTTTGCTGGGTTGAAATAGGCGAGGGCCCTGCCAAAAAAATTTCCAGTCGGCATCCGTCCAAAAAACCCAAAATCCGACATGTGGGACTCATTCAATTGCCAAACGATTATCTCCGGCCTCATCAAACACATCTGCACATCCCCGGGCGTCCCCGACATCCGGACTCCTCCGATTCCTCCGAATCGACCAGAAGTCGATGCGAACTGCCTGCAAATGAGCGGCATTTGTTTGCGGTCGTCTGCGGATAGATCTCCATCGAATACGGGCCCTGGGTTCCGAGAACATTGGAGCTGTTTAGGACACTCGGACATTTGTATGCCGTCGGGTGGATGGATCCAATCTTTGCTCTGTGGGCCGGCAAACACTTCCGATGGTTGGTGGTGTGCACTCGACTGGATTTATCGACAGGGGGCAGACGATGCAGGCTTCGGCAGTCGACAGTCGGTGAAGACCGCAAACTATTTCAGGTACCTAATCGCATTCTGCCAAAAACAATTCGCACTCGACGAGCCCATGGCTCCGAAAAGCTGCTAGGAAAAAACATTCCGGAAAACTGCACCACAACAAAAGGCAACTGGCGAACTGGCTGCAAAGCTGGCAACAAACTGCCGCATTGTCATTGAAATTGTTGGCACACTCGGTGTTCTTTGTAGTTTGACTTTATCGCAAGGCTTGGTTTTTGCTTTCTAGGTTTCGATTTTTTCCCGTTTTTGTATACCCGCTGCTGGTCAATCAAAGGGGTATATGGCACTATAAGATAAAGGAAGCGTTATTAGCTTAAAAAACATTTTTATAAGATTCGGAAAACTTGTCAAAAGACCCACAACAGTTATTATTATAACTTCAATCTTACAATTCCTCTTTCCAAGTAACAAAACTTAAAGTTGATATACTTTAACCTTAACATGACATTGGTTTGACTGACTTTTTTGGTTTACTTTAAGTTAACCAGATATGTAGATTTAATTAAACTAGTTCCACCTCTTAAAAAAAACTATAGGTGGTATGTGAAAAACCAGTTAGAATAAACTGAAACATTTTTAAGAAGTCATGCCAGAACTCCCCAAAGATGTTGCTTATAAGTAAAAGCATTTTATAAGAACTGATGATTTGTGTAATCTTACAATTTGCACACCAGGTATCCAAAGGTCGGAGCAATCGACTATGGCGAATTTGCCTAATTTTTTTTTGGTATAGAATGGTATGGTATGGTATTCCCTGAGCCTTTTGCTTGGCGCCCGGCTGTCATCAGACGCCCTCCATTCCCCGCCCCTCGTCATGCCACGCCCCCGCTCCCATTGTTGGAGGCACATCGGGAACTATAAATCAACAAATTTGACAGCAGAATGTGCAAAGTGGTAAACAAAAAGCGACTTCGGAAGCAGTTGCAAGCCAAGGACAAAAGGCAGAGTGCCTGTGGATTGCACTGGGGAATCGAGGACTAGTAGCTCTCTAGTCTCTCCTGTCAGAATCCTGCCATCTGGACGTCCTTTTTGCCCGTTGTCTGTTGTCTGTTGGCTGCTGGCTGCTGGCTATGGCCATTATTGGTGGTAATCAAGCGTGATTAATTGAATTGAAATTGAATTTTTGTTTTGCATAACATTCTGGGCGGGCCACATGGGATGTTGTTAGGGGATTTGCACAGAAATGGGTTTGGGGCGATGCTCTATAAAAGTCCGGATTCTTGCTCTTTCGACTATTGCACACTACACTCCAACGACTCGCTGATATGAATTAGGCCTTAAATGATGATTTCCAGTAATTTACACATGTATGCCAACAAAGATGAGCTAGTCGACCTAGGGGAATTGTAATTTACATATTCACTTTTCAGCTTAATTGGCAGCAAATTAAGCAATTAAGCTAATAAAGGGTAAGTGTTAAAACACTCATACAATAATTTGGAGTTCTAATGACAAGCATATGGATTTAAATTACAATGCAAAGGTCATTAAGTGTAAACGATTATACAATCAAGAATGGTTGTGGAAATATTTGGGGAAGCTAATTAACGTGTTTTGTATGCAAATGCTTATAAATAAAATGTGCAAATTGAATGAATATTTCATTGGAATTGTAAAGCGTGAGCCTAAGAAGATTTAACTGCTATTAATAAGAGTTTTTTGTTGCCATTTTACAAAACCAGCATATTACATTTCTAAATATAAATTCGCTGGCTAAAAATGTCTTCTGCAGTGCACAAATGCCCTTGTTTACCACATTAAATTCTTGTGTTTTTTTTTTGTGGCAGTTGGTTGGCGAATTTAAAAGGTTTATTATCCTTCCTAGATCCTTCTTCATAATCTATAAAAAATGCGGCAGCTGTTTTAAATTGCCGTTGCTACTTGTACCTGGCTTGTAAAATGAGTAATCTGACTACAGAACACTCGGCAGGCCAAGTAACCCGTAATTGTGCTGTGGCTTCTCGGGGCCTTCGTGTTTACTCCTGCTGACTTTATATTTACTCGAAGGAACACGATATGGGGCTAGAAAATCAAACTGCTGACAAGGTCGGGAGATATCTTTTCATGTGGAACATTTAGATTTAATCTCTGTATATATACTGATTTTGTGGAAAGTTGCCAGTAAATGTATTTCTATTTACTTAACTTTCCTTTAAATGAGTTTCCTAGCTATGTGATATTAACAATGACTTTTTGAAGGTTTAATTCTAAAATGTGATATGATAAATGAGAACTTTTAACTTATATATCTAAATAAAAGAAACCCCTACTTGAAATGGAACACTCTTTAATCAAATATTTATAAAGCAAACTCTTACAACTTTTACATTGTTCATGAACGACAGCAATTGAAAAACTTGATTAAACCATTTATTAAATCAAACTTCAATTGAATTACCAGCTTTCATGTGGTAAAAGTTGTTTGTTCGAGTTAAAAAGTTAGGTTCTACAATTTTTTTGTTCACCGTCTTGACGACAAGTGGTGCAAACCTTTTATGCTATAAATAGAAGTTACGACTCATCACTAACCTGCTGCCTGTATTCTGTCTCTTTCAAGGTAACGACTCGAATCCAGATGATATATTGCATCGATGCCTCTCGTGCAGGCGCATTAAGTTCGCTTATTGCCGGCAATAAACTCATTTACGTACTCGACCCGAGCACGTTGCTCCTTGTGGCAGGACCCATCTCGGTTACGGGTGAGCTGGGTAAAAGTGCGGGGTCCTCGACAGGTAGGGTAACAGATACAGATACAGATACAGATAGAGATACAAATACAGAAACTGTGCCCAAGTACTTTACGCGAGTGTTTAGGTCTGTGGGCTGAGCAAACCAAGCTAGCGGCAAACAAACAAACAACAAAGAAACAAACAAACAAACCAACCGAGAGGCAAACAAATTGCTAAAATAAATGTACGGCGGGGGGCAGAAGAAGCAGCAGCAACAAAGACTCAACAAAAGGAAGAGGACTCGAAAAAAGAAGAAACAAAAATCAGAATCGGAATCGGAATCGAAGAGGTCCCATTAATGAACCAACCAAGGTGAGTGAGTGCCGGTGACAATCATCGAGGAGTGGGTGCACCTGGAGAAAAGTATAGCCACCTTGTAAAGAAAACAGGGAAATTATAAACAATAAGATATGTATTCTAAAAATAGGTTATAATTTAACAATTTCAAGGTAGAAATTAAGGAGCGTATTTTTCATAGTGGTTCCATTAATAAACGGTTACATAAATAGACTTGTTCAAGAAATATTGAATATTTTGTAATATACCAAAGTTTTATATCTAAAAATATACCACATTTTTTTTAAAGCCTAAAATAACATGTAACCTACTTTTAAGTAAGATTTTAAACTAATATTATTATCTCATAATGTCCAACTTATTTGTTTGCTCTGTTTATGAATGGAGAACCCCATGATAGCGGAATGATGGATGGGCATTGTTTCACTTTTGTGGGGCTCAGCGTTGTGTTTTTGTTTCGGTTTTGCACTCTGCACTCTGACCCGATTTATAAAGACAAAAACCCCAGCAAAAGTTGGCAAGCTCTTTGCATAAATCACGGTCCGGCTCTCTGATAACTTTAAAAATCAATTTGGGCCCAATGTGTCGCCGGCATCACAGATTAAACTTTGCCACTGACACGGGGCTCTGCTGGATTCAGCTGCCGCAATTTGCAAGGGACCTCGATTCGCTCTGGTTGGGTTTCGGCCTGGCTCGGTTTGGTTTGGTTTATCGATCAAACTCCGGCTGCAAGTTGGCCAGGTGGGCTCGGTAGATGCGGTTCATCCTCCTCCGCAATCCAGCCAGTCCAGCCCCCCTCGAACTTGGAAACTTTTGCTGCGCCTTTTGATTGCTCAGCAAAATGTTACATTACCACAGCCACATAAAAGCCAGCATCGTAATATTGTACTCAGGCAGGCCAGGGGCATAGTTCCAGCTCAAGACAGGCAATCACTACGGATGTCTATATACAGTCTATCTTCCCTAGCTTGAACATTCCCTCGACCATTCTTCTGTATTTCTTGAATTAAGATAATTTAAAGATTAATATTTTAATAATTCTTATATAAATATTAACTTAGTTTAAAGTGCAATTGCATTTACATATTGTATGAACACTGAGGTCTCGGAAACTAAAAAGCTTGAATGTTGGGACTTGGCATGCAGATTCTTGAGGATCTTGCTCAGCGCAGGATTATTTCAGTATTATTCAGTATTGTATCTCATTAAAATTAGAAGAAGTATTGTATTTCTTCTAGAAGCAGATAACTAAAAAAACGTTCGCTTAGTAACAAACTTAGAATTCGGTTTTTGAAAATACTAATCGGTAAGTAAGGCCTTACAAAATGTATGTAAAGAATTAATATCAATTGAAATTTTAGATATTTCTTTTAAAGCACAGGCAAGAATCACAATTTTTTTCATTAGTTCCGTTTAAAAACATCTCGGTATTATTTTTGGACTATTGGAAGAAAACTAAAATTAACTGTTGGTATTTGTATTTCTTTTACAACTTTAAAGTTTATCGAGTTGAAGAATTTAGACTGTACATGAGGTTTTATAACAGTTCAACTGGAATTCCATCGCTGACTGGTCAGCTGTGCAAGTAAATCCTGTTGGTGCAAATGGCATTTCGCGCATAAATCGCTCTCTGAACCAAGGAAGACGCCTCCGGGGTCCTGGGATAGTGGCTGTGTTATTTTAGCGGGGTTCTTGGACTCCATCACACTGCCAATTTGTATGAGGTTCACGTCGTCGGAGTGCGTCAGCGAGACCCGAACGAAACTCACTCTGGATATGGCTGTCTGGGCACTGAGGTTTGAGTTCTGGGGTCTGAGGTTCAGAAGTCTTTGGGATGGGGGGCTGCAAATGGCGCGGGCCTGGTTCTTATGCTGATGACATCATAACAATAAAAATTAAATTGTTGCTGGTCTGACAGGCAGCGGAAATGACGGCGCTTCGCGGCTAGTTGTTGTTTTTGGCACTGTGGCGGACGGATTTTGTTGCTGCACTGAAATTGAAAAACGCCTTGAACTCACTTGCGACCGGCGACCCACATCCCCAGAAAACCCCCTTCAACCAACCAACCAACCAGCCAACCCCCCACTCCTTCCGCCCCCTGGAGTGGGGTCTTGAATATAAAATTTTATCGCAAGACACACATTTAATTTAATTTAATGAGAGGCGAACAACATGCTCGCTTATCTTTAAACGTTCTGCGATTTTCCCTGCCGTGATACAAAGTATTTTTGAACCCACTCCAGGGAATCCCGGCCCTGGTCCTCACGGAATATTTAAATTGGTTTAAGAGGTGGCGGCAATTATGCAGGGTGGGTCCTTGGCTGGTTTATACCTTTTCTATTGCCAAATACTGGGAGTTATCACTCCAACATAGACCAATTAAAAAGGGGTGCCTTGTATTTAACATAGGGTTCTTTATGTTTAACTCTTAAAGTGCAAAAAGTATAGCTTTTCCGACTTTCAAAGGATATATGTATCTGCAAGTTAATTTGGTACCCTTAAGATGATATATTTTAGAAGAATTTATTACAAATTTTAGAAGGGGCTCTCGAAAAAATAAATATACGATATAACATTTTTTGTTTTTAGAAGGTCTTCTGTAAAGAATGATTCATAAAGTTCATAAAACAAATGATATAACATTTGTTGTTTAGATTTAAGGTGTCAAAGTTCTTGTCGTAATGGAATTTTAAATCGAAGTGCAAGAAAAAGGGCGTTCTACATGACTCCCATTGGGAAGTTCCCTGAGTGAATCTCTTTCCCTGGGTAGATGGAATCACATCATGTCACTGTTTTTGCTCGACCTTTTGTGCGTCTCCTTTGGCTTTGCAGTAATGTGATTAGGAGGCGGTGTCGCCAGGTCCCAGGGGAACATGTCTGTCGATTAGGCAACGTGTTAAGAACACTTAATTGAAAATAACTTGCCAGATGCCCCTCGATCCCCTCAAAGGGGTTAGCCATCTCCCACCCTCAACACAATTTGCACAATCCAATTCTGGCTATAGGAACCATACCTCCAACACCATCCTCGCCCTTGAGCTGTCAGCACCCCCGATGTGTGTGTGGCATGAAAGATGGTTGGCTTTATTAAAGGCCCGCCTGAACTCGGCTCTCTGGCCCAGCTTAATTATACATTATTTTGGCCTAAACACAAGCAAACACCGGCTCTACCCGCTGGCTGGCTGACTGGTTGGTTGGATGGCTGGTCGTTTTGGGTCGAGTGTATGGATGGTTAAACCCACTTGGAGGGCCCAAGGATTTTAGGGGCACGTTGCGTGTTTGAGGGGCGTCCAGGCGTGTGCAATGATTTATTTGCAACAGCCAGGGGCAAGCTGGCTGTCAACTCTCGGGCTGCTAGTGCCACACTCCATCCACATACGCACTTTTGTATGTTTATTTACTGTTATATTTATGTGCAAATAATATTAATAACAATAAAGTTTTCTGGCCCGTTTTATGGCCAAGTTTGCTTGCCCACCCATCATCCTTTCCCCCTGCAGAGGAAACAAGAAAAAAGCCAACGAAAATCAGGGAAATAGGCCCAGATATTATTTATCGTTGGCCAAAGGTCTTGTTCTCCATACAAGAAGATCTTAAAGTTATGTTGCGAATATAAATGTACGATTATGGCGAGTGTTCGGAACGTGACTGAGCAGCAGAAATATCAATAAACAGGCCGAAATTAAAGGGAAAACGGAGGCTAATCGGAATATTAAATGTGTAAATATTCAGTATCAATATTATTAATGGGAATGAATTTAAAAATATTCGTTCTGTTGCTTCAGCTGTGTTTCTCATTCTCCTTTTAAATCATCCAAACTTTACAACTTTAATTAAATATTCCGATGAAACTGCATCAGACTTGAGCTTTGACTCATCAAATTGGTTTTCGATTCTGCCTGATTAATTCAGTTTTGCCAATCGGTTGACAGCAAAATATGCACATTGATTAAACTTTTCGGATTTTCCATCGATTGCCAATCGCTTTCCATCGCATCCCGGATTCGGAAAATTATGTGAAAACCCCGGGGGCCAGCTCGTCGTCTCGTCTCTCGTCCCTCATTTGAAATGCTAACACGTTTCCCCAATTTCCATAACAACCGAAAACTTTAAAGGTTGCATACACAAATCGAAGGGCGAAAAATAGCAATAACGGTTGGGGATTATGACTGAATGGATTATCCTAAATTGATTTGCTTCGAAAGAGCTTATTTGCATTACTTATTGTTGCTTACTTTTTGGTGGAAATTAGTTTTGTATTTGAAATATTTATGTAGTAGTTAGTTATTTTGTTAAGATAAGAGGCCATCGTGTTAATTTAAACTACTATTTTAGTTTAGACTTTAAGGAAATGTATATATTTAGGATGTAGTTTATGATTAAACCACCCACTCCTCGACTGAAATCACAGTTTCATTTTAAAATGCAATAATTTTAACCCTTTTTCGAACCACATCTCTCATTTCAGCAGGCCAACGAAAGTTTAAATAATAGAATAAGCAATACGAGCAAACTACTTATAACTTAATCGCTTTAAAGGCATCTAGTGTTAATAAAAAAGGATCACATCTTGACGTGTATCTTGGGGAAAATCAACGCTTCATAAATTAACGAACTAGTGAATAACGAACCACGGACCAGC